TGGCAGTTACAGCTGTTGACATACAGGAGCAGAATGGGAATAACAAACATTTTACATGCTGTCCTACACTTTTTCACTTCACAGCTGCTGAGAGAACTTTGGACTTTCTTAAAAGTTGTCATTTATTGCCATCAGGTTTTTTTCACATGTTTAGTCAATCCAGAGGGGAAGTGATTGCAGAAGTCATAAAACGAAATAAATTATTACAAATGAATGAGATGCAACTAATTATTGTGGCATGCTACTACCCTCTAGTGGACATAATAAGAACCTGCAACAGTTGTCTTGGTTCTATTTTAAGCCTTTGCACATGCACTCATATAGAACACCATGTTTCATGCTTTCATTATCAATTGCTGCATCATCTTGTTCAGTCTAATCAGTAGGTGTGAGAGGGAGGATTTGTGTATAATGTTTGCTCAGACAGGGTATGGGCATTCTGGGCCGATTAGGGAATCAGCCTAGAATGCCCATTCAGTCAACATGTGCGTTTTTCTGTCTGTGTGAAAAAAAGCAAGAGTAACCACAGAAAGAGTCGACTTATTAATGTTAATGAATCATCTTATTGCCTCATGATGGAACCTGGTACAGTATATTAATATCTGCGGAATCCTACTTAAGCTGAATCAAGGGTAAATAATAGTCTTCATATTTTATGCAATGCCAAACCCTTCTTCAGTGCTATTAGACATTTGTTGGAAGACATTAGATATTTTTGTACAAAAGCATTTTAAATATGGATTTTCCACAATTATCCGTATTTCCTCCAGCACTTCAGACCTTCTGTAAAATAGGATCCCATCATATGAAACTGCCATGTCTCATAGTAGACATGGTGCCTTCAGGGTAATGTGTAATGAAAGTTCTCTAATGCAGATGGGTAGTTTAGTAATGTGGACCAAAATGCTAAGTTCTGGTTTCATATGACCACAGCCCCTTCCTCCAGTGTCTCCTACATTACCTGGGCTACTGTATGTGTACTTATAACAATGGACTTTTTTCCATTGTGTAATCAAAAGTTGTCATTTTATTAATGATTGGTCTACCTAAGCTGAAAATCTCTGCAGCTATTTTATAATGCCATTGTTGCTGGCCTGTAGGACATGGCCATGTTTTGGTGAAGCCCCGTCAAACCTTGACGATTTAGCCAGTGTATGCCCGACATCCCAGAATCCTCTAAAACAGGCATCCCCAAACTCAGTCCTCAAGGCCCCCTGTCCTGCAGGTTTTAGAGGTTTCTCTGCCTTAGCACAGCTGGTTATAATTATTGCAGTAGACCAAAAGCCTGTTAATCAGCTTTCAATTAAAATCAGCTGTGCTGGTGCAAGGAAACCTCTAAAACCTGCAGGACAGGGGGCCTTGAGGACCGAGTTTGGGGATGCCTGCTCTAAAACATTGGCGTAGGCTGAAATTTCTATGTATTTTTTCAATTATGGGCGTATACATAGAGGACTAATGTCCAGTGACAGCCTATGTTATAAGCTGCATATTGCCCATGAAATTTCACAAGCCAGTGGGTGGGTGAGGGGGGAGAGAAAGAAAAAAGGTGTGCAGTCGCAGAACATTCAGCATCATGTCTGCTAGGAAGTTTGTTGTTTTGGCCGTGGTTGTGAATGCAGGGAGGACCCATCATACTCATCTTCTCTCTCAACCTATGATGGATGTGAAGTCTGGAGGAGTCTTGACGGTTTCCTCCTGTGAACCCACTTTTATATAAAAAAACGCAGCCATTTAACAGTAGCTGTAAGTTAGAAACACGTTAAGCGGTTGTCTGGAACACGTTAAATGCTTTGATATGCATTGGTGATAAGTTCTTGATAAGTTACGCATAAGTTCTTCACAAGTTACTCATAGGTTTTGGATAAGCTAGACACCACGACTTATGTGTAACTTACACTTAGCGTATGTCAACAATCAAATAACTTACCTGTAACTTATGGCCCACGTATGAGCATACGCTGGCATACCTCAACGTACTTGCCAGTATTTCGAAGCGTGCCAGCATGCTTCAGCATGCCCATAACTTATATAAAACTGACCCATAACTTATCCAACGTATGCCAGTGTTTTTGCCTGATATTTTGTACGCTGGCTAAATCGTCAAGGTGTGACAGGGGCTTGAGGTGTTGAATTGTTCAATGCCATTTTAAACTGTTGGGTTGAATGGAGTTGGGTGATATGTTAAAGGCTTGATACATCACTCTATGTATTAAGGAAGTGTCTTTTAAATCAGGTTTGACAACCATTTGGTAAAATCAAAGACTTTCATTATGCGTCAACATTTTTCAGATTATCACTCGCTCTAATTATATTTGAATAACATTATCTTAACAGATTTTCCTGGCTTAGCGCTGTCATGGTCAGTTGAGTGCTGAGGCAGCTTTTCTGTCCCCCTTAAATCCTTTAGAAGAAATATTACACGCCTCTGGGCAGATCTATAAGCGGAGCTCTTGGAATATGCTGCGACAGAGACGAATAAGCAGTGAAGGAAAACCATCATTCATTTAGGGCCATACAAGCTAAGTCAACAGTTTCTAAACTGTCCCACACCTCTCAGACATTACACAAACACAAACAGCTGCAAAAATGAGCTGAGGCCCTGGTCCTCCGGCAGGATTAGAGCACGCCCTCTTGTCAAACTATAGGAAAAGCCATGACTGGTGATCTTCAGCTAAGAGTCGGGACTTTTCTGCTACGATTTGATGTGCCCACTTAGCGCCACAGAAAGTGTTTAATTGCTTCGGCCTGCTCCTTTGGTCTGACTAGGAAAAGCAGATAATAGGCACTTAAAAGATGTGAGGAGGGAGGTGTGGCTAATAATGAATGAAGGTTGTCATGAATGATGCCCTCTGTGCTTTCTGTGATATCACATTCCTCTTCAGCAGTTGGGTTCAGACCTTTAATCCCCAGCCCCTCCCCTTCCTGTCTCCGTTAACAGGACGGTGTCTGAATTGGCCACCGGCAGCAACAAAAGAAAACAACTGCAAGAACGTAAATTAAACATACTGCAGATGCTTTTGGCTGGCTGTGTGTGTGTGTGTGTGAGGTCTGTAGGGCCCTCCAGGCAGGGTGAATAATTAACAGGGCCAGTGAGTGAAGTAAGGTACCAGGCAGGGTGTTTTGTTACCTTCGCCTCACTCAGCACAAGCAAACAGCATTAGATAAGCCTATCTCTATCCGCCTGGCTTGTGTGCATGTGTGTGTGTGTGGGAGCAGTTGGGCCACTTTAGATGATTCAACCATTTGATACCTTCAAAAGCCTCCTGCAGCTCAGTAACAGTTCCTGATGGAAAGCCTAGACATCCAATGTTAAATGAAGACAGGCAGCTGTAACCATCTTATCAGTTCTCATAAAGTTAAATGCTTTATTGCACTAAGATATTGAAAGAAAACTAGCCTTCAATTCATAGTAAAGAAATTTATTAGTCAAACAGTACTCTGCAAAAAACATTCGTACCACTTAAACGTACATATGTTTTATTAAATAAAAACCACCAGTGTTCATTAGGGTGAAGTAATACTAATACTATCTATTCAACCCTCTTTAGTCCACTCAAATCAAATCCAGAGAAATCAATTTCTTTAGAAGCCAATGAGAATTCAGTCTGATTATGGGTGATTTAATCTAAATATACTGTAAATGCAGCCATTCCTCTCATGGCTAATGAAGTTTGTAAGTTAAAAAAAAAGTGTATTATGAACACAAAGAAAAATACCAGACAGGTCGGTCAAAAAGCTGTGGGGAAATTTATGCAAAGTTAGTTTATGAAACAACCTTTCAACATCCTATTAAACCCTGCTGCATGTATCATCTAAGACAATGGACAGAGTGCGGGACAGCTAAAAGACACAGTGAAATCTAACAGACAACAGGACAGGCCTGGATGGGAGAGCTTCCATCAGAGAAGCCAATATAGTTCTGGAGGAGTTATCTATATCATTATCTCAGGTTAGCAAATCCATTGAAAGGACAATTTATCATCATGCTCACCATAAATCTGAGACAGACACACCTGTCTGGAGTTTGCAACAAACCATGCAAGAGACTCCATTAATTGTGTGAAACAAGGTGCTTTGGTCAGATGAGACCCAAAAGTCTACATACAAAATATCACATATAGTGGAGCACTAACATGATACATTAACCCTCAACTTTGACTGCGCATAGTGAAACATTGAGGTGGCAGCATCATGCTGTGGGAATACGTTCTTTAGTGGGAACGAGAAGGATGTGAGCTAATGGGAGGATGGATGGGGCTGAAATCCAGTAAAATCCTAATAAAGTGGACCTGATTCAGAGACTGTGGACAAGTTATTTTGCAAATTTTGGAAACTATTATTTTTGTGCTTCCTAACCATCAGTTACTCTCTGTTGGTTAATCAGATAAAAGAAAAAAACATTCATGATAGACAATCTGAATTTACATGTTGTAATTTGAAAGTTTTAACTTTTATTTAAAACAATGCTGCAAGGACACAGAGTAAAAAGTTAATTTTTTTTTAAATAAATAAAATAGGTTAAAAATCCAATTTTCTATATAAATTAAAAACTTTATATTATAAAGATAAAGATTGTTAGAACTTGATTTTCCTAAAGTTAAATAATATATATATATATATATATATATATTCAGCTAATTCAAAATAAAGCTTTCCATTCCTTACCGTTGTAAGACAGAGAGGACAGTCCACGAATAGGAAAGATAAATCAATATAAAGGAAAATCTATGAAATGTTGTCTTTCAGCAGTTTCTGTTTGGGAATTAATATATACTAAAAAAAAAAAAAAAAAAAAAAAAGGTTTCATCTGTTATTTCAGCTGGCAAAACTTTTACCCCCCCCTTTTTTTAAACCTAATATGTATTTTACGTGCACTGAAGCAATATTTGTAAAAAAAAAAAATTCCCCCGGTTTACTGTAAGATAACACATTCTGACATTCCAGCTCCAAGATTTGCTTTCTGTGTTTGCAAGATAGGAAAAAAGGGTTTCAATCAGGTCTGCAAACAAAATATGTGACTTTTATTCAGCGTTAGTATTTTGTTTACATTCTATTTACACCATAAAACAAGTTGTCATTCCATAAAGAGGGGAAAACAAAATCTAAACATTGTGAGAAAGTAGGAGGAAAAAATATATCTGAGGTCAAAGAAAAGAGCATGAACACACCATGAATGAAGGTTGGAACAAAGAGACGACTAAAGGAGCAAGTAGGTAAACCTATGGAGGCTGCATTCAAGCTGATCACATACAAACATCACAGGACTATTGACATTAATATGAAAATAAACAGAAGAAAATTGAATCTTTCTTCAAACAGCCAAGACTACAGTTTTAATACTGGAAACATTTTTTAAGCTTCAGACCCCGTTCATAGCCTGTGTAGCACCTGCAACTCCACCTACCACCCGCGCCCAACTGCTAATAGTACAGATGATTATTTAGATGTTGATTCAAGTATAAGATTCTGTCCTTTTTCAGCAGGGCTGGTTGTGTGGTGCAGGTGTCAAAAGTAGCTCACAGAGAGAAACTGATTTTTTTTTTAACTTAAGTTAGATTTCCTGTTTTACATTGTTCAGCTCACTGTTTTCTTTGTTTTTAACATGTACAGTCGTCTTAGCAACAATTGCCAACCCTGGCAAAGATGTGTAAAATGCTTAAAATAAATCATGAACATTTGGTAACCACAAAATAACACGTTTTGCAACAGATTTCCAACTTTAAGCAGGGAATCAATTAATTTTCTATTTGTATCTTTTTTTTTTACTATCATGGTGACAGGTTTACCTTGTTTTGTTTTTTGCCAAGTTTGTCACACTTCCAGGTTTTTTAAGTCTAATTGGTGCTCTTATTCGATGTTAGAGTTTAAGCGAGTAATTATCATCCTGTATCAATTTTTTATGTTGTTTTATTAATGAAATGACAGATTGAAACATTCTTAAAAAAAAAATATAGAAAAACAAACAAACAAAAAAATTCTATTACGGAGACTATTTGGGGTACCTTTAAATCCCCCCCCGCCCAAATAAATGCACTTGAAATTTTCCACAGTCTCCAGACAGACATAGTACTGCATTCAATAACTAAAGTATTTAAGGGATTTACTTTTCCGTAAGCAAAGGTGATGGTTACCAAATACCTTCCCGCTCTTCATGGGCCTTTAGCTACGGTAGTTTATATCGGTACTGTGGCTTTTTTCTGATCTTATTTCATAAATATATCTCTTGATGTCATTAAATAGAAGGTTAAGGAAGGCAAAGGAAGTTTAAGACTAATTCAATTTTTTTTTAAAAATTGATTATTTGTTTTAACATTGAAAAAGTTGAACAATTCTGTCAACAACAAAGGGCTTAACCATACAGTCCCCTTGTCAACAAACCCAGGTTAACGCTGTATGATGACTTTGAGACGCAAGCTTGAAATATTCTATATCTGGTGGTTATCACATGGACTGCAACAAAGCCATCCAGACTTATGGAAGGGAAAGAGTTAGTGGAAGTAACTTAAGGCTAGCATTCCTAAAAAGTAAAAATTACTACCCTAAATTTAAGTAACAACTAAATAATGGAAAAAAATGATGTACAAAGTCAAGTTTGACCCTGAAAATGGCAACAGAGAAAGAACTCTTTACTTTAATAAATAGAATCTGGAAACAGAATGAAGAAACTGGAGCACAGTAGCAACAATCATAAATGTGTGATGCTCTGATCCATCCTTGTCTCTTTAGGACCGTTAGATGTCCCATCTGGCTTTCCCTGGTTTAGGGCTTTAATTTAAAAAAGAAATCTAAATAAAATAAACCAAGCAAAATCACTTTCTGACAAAGAGAAGCCAAGCAGAGTTGGCTGACAGTCAGGAATAGATGGAAATGCCACCGTAGTTAACAAGTTGTGCAATACTACGTGAAAAAGTGAGGACGTATTTTTACAAGGATGAATCAGTCAGTTGCATCTACATTAAAAAGCCATCACAGATTCATAATTGTTGCTGTCAGTGTTCTATTTCTTTGACTCATACAAAGCTGTGACCTCAGAGTAAGGAGTGTACATCCACGGTCATACTGCCACACCTCTGACAGACAAATGAAATAAATTAACAATAAGACAAAGTTAAAAAGTTCCCTCATTAAAATGCATTGGAGCAGCAATAAATAGATGTTTCCTCTATTTTCAGTTACCATCAGATGCTTTAAAATAAAGGATCAATCCAAAGCTGTTTGATTTGTTGCTTTGTTCCGAGGATAAAGCGTTGGCTCCTCTTCGTCCTACTCCTCCTGCTAAGGAAGCCAGCATAGAACATGGAGATGAGATGCTCTTATAGATGTGTCCTTCCTGTATTTCATCCTCAAAAAGACCTTCCAGTGTCTTGCTTTAGCTGTGGTTATATTTTTTCTCTTTTTTTAATGTTAATTTTGCCTTGTAGCACAAACATTCATCTAAACACACACATACACACAGATTTGGAGCACCCGATGCCTTGCTCTGTTCCCACACATCGCACATTTAATCCTCCTACAGCCTTGTGCTCGCTATGAGTAGTAGTTGCCTTGTGACGCAGCCCTAAGAACAGCTTTTGCTCCATGCTTTCATTAAAGCAATGAAACAAACCAAGAGCTGAGTCCCTAAGGCAACTTCTTCCTCACTTAGCCATTCAGACATACTAATTTATCTTCTTCTCGGTTTTCAAAGAGCCATTGCGTTTGTGCTTCCCGTTGGCAATGCTCTCAGAGTGGCAGTGTCCATTGGTCATGCTGCCATCCACTCTTCTGTTCTGGTGCCCATCCTTGGCCCTGAGGAGATGTACCAGCCTACGCAGCAGGAACACTATCAGAGCGCCAGTAGCTCCAACAATAAAAATCACATCCAAGAGGAAGTACTGGTAAGGGGACACTTCGTATACAGCTGAGCGCAGGTGGTTAGCTCCGTTGTGACGGAGGATGTAGCCGATCCAGTACACAGCCCTGGTGATTGGGTGACCTGGCTGATCTTTGTGGATGTTGGAGAGGAGACGAGCCTGCTCGCGGTACCTGGGGACAGGAAGACGGCAGGAATGAGGGATAAAAAGAAGCACCCACAGGGAACACCCACAGAGAACACCCACAATATGTAGATACTTTATTCCATGTTTGCAAATTGCCTTTTAAAACTGCTTAAGACTTAAAATTTTACATATTTGACACATTAACATCATAATTCATATTCATTCATGTTAAGCAATGGAGTAAAAGGAAGTAGGCAACATAATTGTCAATATGGAAAAAATATACTGCTTTTAACAATTCCTTATAAATGAAAACATTTTATATAAGGTTATATAAAGTAAAAAAAGGCTGTCCATTCTTTGGAAAACTGCTCAAGTTCAGTCAGATTGATAGGAGGAATGTCCTCACAGCAATTGTTAGTGATTGCCACAGATTCAGAATAAAGTTTAGCACTAATTTATGACTTATTCTGAAATTTGAATATGGTTGGATCTAACTCAGAATTGTGCAAAAACAATCTTCAAAAACTATTACTCTATATATTTTAGAGGTAGTCTAGTTTTAACATGATTGGAATGTTTGAACATGTCATCATGTTATTTATTTGTTTAGGTGTTTTATGGAGAAGGGATAAACCTAAAGGTTAATATGTTCACCATGAGAAGCAATGTTCTTGCTTCCATCCTGTCTTGGGGATTCTTATATCTTCTCAACGCATCATCTGGGTAGAACTTTTTCTCATGGAGTCTCTGAGAATAATTGTGCAATTAGAAAAATTTTGCAGGGAGAAAAAATGGAGATGATTTTTTCAATTTTGTTTTTCAATTTCGAAATTTCGTCTTTTGTCGAGTGAGGACCTATGTAGAGGTAACTGTTATCGGTTATGAGTAGTTTTGAGGATGTGCTAAAAGAGTCGGAAAATGTTTAAAA